ACCTAGTGATAGGACCATACAGTATCTGTTGTACAAACCTAGTGATAGGACCATACATTATCTGTTGTACAAACCTAGTGATAGAACCATACAATACCTGTTGTACATACCTAGTGATAAGACCATACAGTATCTGTTGTACAAACCTAGTGATAGGACCATACAGTTTCTGTTGTACAAACCTAGTGCTAGGACCATACAGTTTCTGTTGTACACACCTAGTGATAGAACCATACAGTTTCTGTTGTACATACCTAGTGATAGGACCATACAGTATCTGTTGTACAAACCTAGTGATAGGACCATACAGTTTCTGTTGTACATACCTAGTGATAGGACCATACCGTATCTGTTGTACAAACCTAGTGATGGGACCATACAGTATCTGTTGTACAAACCTAGTGATAGGACCATACAGTTTCTGTTGTACACACCTAGTGATAGGACCATACAGTATCTTATGTCAAACGGGTCTTTCTCCATGAGGAAGCTGACGTCTAGCGTATCACCATTGTTGACATTCACATTTCCAACAATAAAACAGCCCTGGCTGACCGTCGTGTCCCCTCTGGTCAGCACGAGGCGACTGCCACAGTTGATATAGTTCGGCTGAAGATCAAAGTGAGGGGACAAATGGATGATGGTGGAGGCTTCGTTATCCAGAGTTACGGTAGCTGTACATGAACACGTGGCAGGTTTAGTCTGTCCCTCCGCCGTGTAAGTGTCAACAATCACCCGGTTCCCCTTGGCCTCGGAGCTGGTACACATGGAGGCCACTAGGCAAAATTAACACAAACACAGCAAATATTAAATATGGAATTTCATATATAAATGTGATGGATATCACATAGGGAATCATGATCGATTTTAATGTCTTTGGTAAGGCGCAATTGAGTTGAACATCTGTTAATGCTTTGCATCATTCATCGGTTACATAACAAATGCATTAGACTAAAAATACTAAATATTTTTAAGTACTACACGCTTACTTCAGTGGAGCATGGCCCGTGGCACTATGTAGAATGGGACATATACAGTGGGCAATGACCCGTGGCACTATGTAGGAGGGACATACACAGTGAACCATGGCCCATGGCACTATGTAGGAGGGACATCTACAGTGAACCATGGCCCGTGGCACTATGTAGGAGGGACATATACAGTGGACCATGGCCCGTGGCACTATGTAGGAGGGACATACACAGTGGAGCATGGCCCGTGGCACTATGTAGGAGGGACATATACAGTGGACCATGGCCCGTGGCACTATGTAGGAGGGACATGTACAGTGGAGCATGGCCCGTGGCACTATGTAGAAGGGACATGTACAGTGGAGCATGACCCGTGGCACTATGTAGGAGGGACATGTACAGTGGACCATGGCCCGTGGCACTATGTAGGAGGGACATACACAGTGGACCATGGCCCGTGGCACTATGTAGGAGGGACATACACAGTGGACCATGGCCCGTGGCACTATGTAGAAGGGACATGTACAGTAGAGCATGACCCGTGGCACTATGTAGGAGGGACATATACAGTGGGCCATGGCCCGTGGCACTATGTAGGAGGGACATACACAGTGAACCATAGCCCGTGGCACTATGTAGGAGGGACATACACAGTGGACCATGGCCCGTGGCACTATGTAGAAGGGACATGTACAGTAGAGCATGACCCGTGGCACTATGTAGGAGGGACATACACAGTGAACCATAGCCCGTGGCACTATGTAGGAGGGACATACACAGTGAACCATAGCCCGTGGCACTATGTAGGAGGGACATACACAGTGGACCATGGCCCGTGGCACTATGTAGGCGGGACATATACAGTGTACCGTGGCCCGTGGCACTATGTAGGCGGGACATATACAGTGTACCGTGGCCCGTGGCACTATGTAGGAGGGACATATACGGTGGACCATGGCCCGTGGCACTATGTAGAAGGGACATGTACAGTAGAGCATGACCCGTGGCACTATGTAGGAGGGACATATACAGTGTACCGTGGCCCGTGGCACTATGTAGGAGGGACATACACAGTGAACCATAGCCCGTGGCACTATGTAGGAGGGACATGTACAGTGGACCATGGCCCATGGCACTAAATAGGAGGGACATACACAGTGGAGCATGGCCCGTGGCACTATGTAGAAGGGACATGTACAGTGGAGGATGACCCGTGGCACTATGTAGGAGGGACATGTACAGATGCAGTTCACGAATAACTTGGAGTATAAGGCTGGGACCTAGATTTACATAGCTGGTGTCGTTTTGAACCAGATTTACATGGCTGGTGTCGTTTTGACCCAGATTGAAATGGCTGGTGTTGTTTTGACCTAGACTTAAATGGCTGGTGTCGTTTTGACCCAAATTTAAATGGCTGGTGTCGTTTTGACCCAGATTTAAATGGCTGGTGTCGTTTTGACCCAGATTGAAATGGCTGGTGTTGGTTTGACCTAGATTTACATGGCTGGGGTCATTTTGACCCAGATTTACATGGCTGGTGTCATTTTGGCCCAGATTTAAATGGATGGTGTTGTTTTGACCTATACTTAAATGGCTGGTGGTGTTTTGACCCAGATTGAAATGGCTGGTGTTGGTTTGACCTAGATTTAAATGGCTGGTGTTGTTTTGACCTAGATTTACATTGCTGGTGTCGTTTTGACCCAGATTTAAATGGCTGTTGTCGTTTTGACCCAGATTTACATATATAGCTGGTGTCGTTTTGACATTGATTTACATAGCTGGTGTCGTTTTGAACCAGATTTAAATGGCTGGTGTTATTTTGGCCTAGATTTAAATAGCTGTTGTCGTTTTGACCTAGATTTACATGACTGGGGTCGTTTTGACCTAGATTTACATGGCTGGTGTCGTTTTGACATTGATTTACATGGCTGGTGTCGTTTTGACCCAGATTTGCATTACTGGTGTAGTAACATGAGGTGTATTGTTGTGTTGTGTCTACTGTGTAACATGATGTGTATTGTTGTGTTGTGTCTACCGTGTAACATGAGGTGTATTGTTGTGTTGTGTCTACTGTGTAACATGAGATGTATTGTTGTGTTGTGACTACTATGTAACATGAGGTGAATTGTTGTATTGTGTCTACTGTGTCACATGAGGTGTATTGTTGTGTTGTGACTACCATGTAACATGAGGTGTATTGTTGTGTTGTGTCTACTGTGTAACATGAGGTGTATTGTTGTGTTGTGTCTACCGTGTAACATGAGGTGTATTGTTGTGTTGTGTCTACTGTGTAACATGAGATGTATTGTTGTGTTGTGACTACTATGTAACATGAGGTGAATTGTTGTATTGTGTCTACTGTGTCACATGAGGTGTATTGTTGTGTTGTGACTACCATGTAACATGAGGTGTATTGTTGTGTTGTGTCTACTGTGTAACATGAGGTGTATTGTTGTGTTGTGTCTACTGTGTAACATGAGGTGTATTGTTGTGT